CCACTCAAAAAAATAATTTCTGAAATTTGGAAGGGCACCTGTGGGGTCCAGGATCTAGTCCTGCATGTGTACCACCCATGAGTGGGACATGGACCATTGTGGGAACCACTTAAAAAAATTATTTTAGGAGAATCTTTTAAATATCAAAAGATTGTTTTAATTCGGAGTTTGGTTTGATCTAAACTGTAATTATTTTGACTTCCTACAGATTTTGGAAAGATATTATGAAGTTTTGGATTGGTTATATTCCTATTTTAAATAGAAATTGGACTTGGGTCAAATTACAAGGGGATTAGGTTCCCAATAATCCTCTCATAATGATGATGGCTGATTTGTGGGATGTATGTTTTAGATTTGTTCTCTTTCACCGCGTAAATTTCTTATGTTCCTATTGGTCAAGTTGTGTCATTGGATAGACAATACCTAAGGAAGGACTTCTAACCCAAATAGGAAAAGTAATTGTTTCTATTTAAATACCATTGAGCCCCTCTCTTTCAAAACTCATTTCTCTCTCTTCCATGCAGCAAGTTTCTCTCTCTCTCTTTCATTAAAATTTGGTTTTTCTCTCTCCCCCCCTTCCAAAAGGGGTCATGCCACCCAAAATTTGATAAGATAAGGGTGAGCATTGAAATCCTAATTAGGGTTTTATTATTTGGAGAAAAAAAGGGGTGTGCCCAGCCTAAGAGGATTCTATGCCTTCCCAGCCCTAATTTATTCCTAAAGGTTCCTACAAACCTTAGTTAGGCTTTCATGCTCTTTAAAGACCTAAGAGTAAGAGATTTATGAAAGCTTCCCATCTTTGAAATTCTAACAATATCAAAAGGGATAAAGTGTGTCATCGGTTAGAGAATCGTGTGAGGTAGATCAAGACCTGTGAGGGTAACTCCGGGCGCTTTTTAGTAAGTCTTCTTAGTAGATTTAATTATTTTTCGGTCTTATTTCATATTTTTCTATGAATTTTGAAAAACATATATTATACTTAAAACTATAGTTGAAGATTGTTTGTTGCTCCTGGATGGTTTTTATTTTCTTTGACTGTAAAAGTAAAGATCCTAGGTTATATTTAGGGTTTTAAATTTAATTTACAACAGTGTATAGTGGCCGATGTAAGTGGAATTCAGGTATATTGAATAAAAAAAAAAAGAATTATTTTTAATGTAATACCTTGAGTTCCACATAGCCACGCCTTTCAATACCTATGAGTGTATGTGATCTTGCTAATCATATGTGAACAATGGCCCACATCATTCCTAAATTACATGTGAATTTAGCTGGTGCTGCTTGGATCTCCACAGACTTGTCTAGCGGATTTGTAATGTGATTGCAAGCAGGTCCCTTATTTTTTTTAGTTTTCACTAAACTTCTATGGGGGATTCTGTTTTTTAGTGCTTATCACTTTTTTGCTTTTCTCTTTCTCCCCCTGCTGTCTACTGGTTTAATTTCAATGTTAAAGAAATGCTGTCTTGTGAAGAAATGATAACACGAGAGGGACAGAGTCCTCTCACAGTCGTGTAAATGTCATTAACTTTAGTACCACACTTTCCCTTCTTTTTACTTATTATATGGCTCTTAACAACAATGTTAGAATTAAACAAAAAGCAAAAAAGTGATAACTACTAATTATGTGGCTGTAAGTCACATAATTAGTTTCAGCAAGGTGTATGTAAACAAAAAGTTTCAGCAACTTTATTGGTGTGCCTATTTACAAGTTCCACTTATATTGCAAAACTAATCAAAATAAATCTACTATAATAAGGATCCTCACTTACTGCCATAAAACATATTTCTTTTATTTATACTTTCAAAAAATACAACACATAAAGGAATCAAGAACAACCGAAGCATTTTACCAAAAAAGAAATTCTTCGGATCACCTCTAAAGGATTTAAGCATACCTTGCTCCAGATCATCTAGCTCGATGGTGCACTGATCTTGATCTCTTTTCAATCTCCTTAAGATGGCAAGCTTTAATGGCAAACCCAAAACTTGATTGGGTTGAAGAGAGAGCAAATCCAAGTGTAATTGACGTACAACAAAACACATCACACCATAGCACAATCAAAAGAGGGCTTATGGTTTTCTTATGGGTGTGCCACCCTTAAGGTTTCTAGGTGGAGAGAGAGTGTGTATGGAGGGAGAGTGGCATGTAGCTTATAGAGAGAGGGGCCATTCAAGTTTCTGAGGGTTTATCCATACTATCTATTTATAATAGGAAAACTATATTTTTCCATCTTATATTCAATCTGGACTGTCAATGTGCGGTGATCTGTAGGGTGAAGAGAGGCTTTTGATCTCAGCCATCCATTCCCTAAATCAACCATCATGATGAAGGGAAGGATCCAAAACCTTTATCCCTTAGTTTCCTTGATCCATTCTTTTTTGATTTAGGAACTTTCTGCAATATAAATCACAATATAATCTCATACTAAAAATTCCATAACACTTTCAAAAGTATGGAGATAATTTCCCAAAATTTATAAATCACCTTCGTCCCTTTTCCATTCAATATCTGAAAACAAATATTATGTAATATTATGTGAAAAGAAAGAGATGAAGTCACCAAACGAGTAGCGTGTGGGTCATGGGGGCCCTAATTGGCCCCATTCCCCACACCTTGTGGGCCTCCCACATGTGGACCCTTGTTCATTACGTGGGCCTCCCATAATTTTCATGGGCCCAAATGAATTTTTAATCCCCTCCCAATATTTTTAAAAGGCCTAATGAATTTTTAAAGCTGAAATGCCTATTTATTTTTTTGAAAAACTTCATGATGGAAAACTAAAATGTCCAAAGCACTTTATAAGTTCATTTTAGTGGTCAATAAATTTTTAAATATAAATTAAAGGGGCATGCCCAAAAGGATATGGAGGGAAGTAGTGAGAAGAGATATGGTGACTTATGGTCTAACTAAGTATATAACCTTGATAGAGCTAAATGGTGGAACATGATTCATATAGCTAAATTCAAATAATTGAGATAAGGCTTGAATGATGATGATGTATTAAACATAATTAAAAGAGAATTGGATCTAGTGGCTCAAGATAGTGCAAAATAACCAAGGCACTCCACCTATGCTAATCCAGTGGTTCACAGTCCATCTTCTCAAACCCACCCAATGGAACCCACGACCTATAGTATATCACAGGGACCCATGCTAGATCCATCAAAACCAGCCAATAAATGAAGGGAACATAGGTCTAGTGTGTGTATTATAGGCCCCCTTTGGACAAGTCATGTCCCACATGGACATGTGCACATTATTGCAATGGTGTAGGGGCCTCTCTTCAGCACATGTATACATCTTACCCCCACGGGTCGCTTCTCATAGATGTTGTCGTCATATTTACATCCTTTTGGTGATAATGTTTATGACTTTGGCCCTTACCCTTACAAGACACCAACCACACATAGGAGACAGACATCCTCCTAGCTAATCCATCCTGGGCATCTCTGACCTCAACTAGGGTTAGCCCTAGAGGCTGACCTATGCCTAAAGCTGAAGGTTTGGACTCCATTCCTGGGCCTAGAGTGTCCAATAAGGGCATGATGAAGCATGCCTCACTGGTCCCATATGGACGATGATCCCACTGGATTATAATACTACTAAAATCATATGTTTTTACATGCTCTCAAGGCCTTTAAAGGCTTGAGAATTCTGTTTCTTAGTATTTATCACTTTCCTGCTTTTCTCTCTCCCTTTGCTGTCCATTGGTTTAATTTCCATGTGAAAGAAATGCTGGTTTAATTTCCATGTGAAAGAAATGCTGCCCTAGGGAGAAATGATAGCACAAGAGAGAGAGAGAGAGAGAGAGAGAGAGAGAGAGAGAGAGAGAGAGAGAGAGAGACTAGTAAGTAAGTACTACTACTATAGTATACTACGTACTTCCTTCCTTCCTTTACCTTACCTTACTTACTACTACGTACGTACCGTAACGTAACTAACGTT